ACCCACAAAGGATATTCCTTGTTGGGACATCTAAGGGCGCGATGGTCCGGAGTGTCTGCCTCCTCGCCACAGAGACCGCACAGAGGAGAATCTCTCAGTCCGATGCGGAATAGATACTCACCATAGGCCTTGGAGTGGCCAACCACCAGTGATGGGAGCTTCCAATGCACCTGTGAGGCTTCGCGAAAGACCCGACGTTGGTGAGCCGAGCGGAGCAGTTGTTGTAGGTGCGGTCGGAGATCCGCGATCAGCGTACCGAGATAGGTGTACGACCGTTTCGATAGCACCGAGATAGTATGAGCCATACCAACTGGAGTGTCAAGTGCCCTGTTCGATAACCTACCTTTGTGCGCGGCAGCGTCAGCCGCATTATTATACACTATCTCCTCAGTATGGCTAGGGATCCAACATAACCTTGCTTCCAGATGATCGACCATGAAACTCCTGATACCGTCCAACCGATGATTCAGGGTGCCATTCCTCAAGGAGACGAGAACCGACTTTGAGTCCACAAAGATACAGCAGGGTTCGTCACGTGAACAATGTTGACGTAGGAAGTTGGCGGCGTGCAGTAGAGCCTCCTGTTCGGCCTGAAAGATGGTAGCGTGCACTGGAAGTCTCATAAAGTCCTCAGTAACATTTGAACCTCGTACCACCACAAAGCCCGCACCGACCGTGGGCTCCGGGCCGTCCTTGACCAGGGAGCCATCTGTGTAGACCTCGACACCTATCCCAGATAGGCTGCGCCACCTGATGATAGCTGCCTGTTTAGTTTCTTCGATGATGATACGATTAGCGATGTCGATGGGGATGGGGGGGCCGGGGGCATACCAATCAGTGGTACCATAGTCCGGAAGTCGATCGTTTAGAATGCGAAGCCACTTATCCGACAGTGACGGGCACCAGCTGAAATGATTCGGTAGGGAGCCTGGAGAAGGCGGGTGTGCCATGCGGTGCATGGACTTCACCAGCAGCTTGTCAATAAGGGTGTAGGATAGCGATGGTGAGTCACATAGAAGATCGACGAAAGAGTTAGGAGCGGAGGAGGGAAGTCGATAGGCCAACTTCAAAATTCTTCTGTAAGCGGAGTCAATCAGTAGGGTAGTCTTGTTGATGGCGAGGGAGGTACCCCAGACTTCCAGACCATAGCAGAGTGTGGGAAGCCAAACGGATTTAGCAAGTAAGAGGATGGAGTCAGGAGAGACACCAAAGGAGCTCCGAGCATAACGCCACGCCTTCAGGGTGATACCATGACACTTGGATAGTCTGGCCTTCAGGTGAAGATGAAAACTTAGCCTTCTGGTGATCGTGATACCCAAAATATTAATGTGCTTCGACTGATAGGACTGTGAGATATAGCTGGTGAGAATTTCAGTCTTCTCAGTGGACAGAGAGAGATTATAGAGGCGTAGCAGAGCAGACAGTCGATCCAGAAAATAGTGGATGTGACGATCCCGGTCTTCTTGAGAGCTTCGGGGTTTGAACTTGAAAACAAGATGGCAGTCGTCCGCATATATAAACCATCGATAGGGGAAAGGTCCATCAGGAAGATCGTCCTTAATAGCACTGATCACATAATGCATGAAGTAGACGAAAAGGAGCGGAGACAGCACACTCCCTTGGGCAAGGCCTATACCTTCCTTGGCCATGCGAGTGGTGTCAACGCCCAGATAGCGGTTAGAGTTAAGCCTCGGTCCTAGCCAGGACCTTATCCAATCGATTTCCTTGGTGGGAATACCGATACTCTGTAGGCCTTGTAGAAGCTTGCAATGCGGCACCGTACCGAAAGCGTTGCTCAGGTCAAGACCAACTATGGCCCAGGGAGGTTTCTTTTTCACCAGTTTGCCGCCGAGCCCCTGCTGTGCATAGTGGATCATCTTGCCAACCATTAGGGTAGCAGATCGACGAGGAAGATAGGCAAAGTGTTCATCGCATCTGATAATCTCTTCTGTATAAGGTGCAAGGCGACGAGCAATCACCGCTTCCTGTAATTTGCACAGTGTGCAGGATAGAGTGATGGGGCGGATACCTTTTACAGTGCCATACCCAGAGGCCTTGGGGATGTAGCCAGACCTCCACATTGAGGCGAGACGAGACTCCCCGCTCGGCTCGTCCAAGCTCGTCGCGGCAACGGCTCGCTCGGCTCGACTCGCGAGATTTTGGCGAGCCGAGCCGAGACTCGGTAATACTACGCCCGCAGTAGACAGTTAACGATAGTCACTGGCTATTGAGTAGCCAGGAGCGCCACCATGAACTCGGCGTCGTGCCGGATAGAGCTCCGCTCCGCTATTAGGTTTTTCCAAGATTGCGAGATTTATAGCCATGTAGTGAGCAGTGCTCACTGAGCACATCCTTCAGATCTTTGAAGCCCAAAGTTTGGACATTTCTATCAGATTTATTGATCTATCGATGAAT